CTTATCAAGTGCATAGAAATTATGTCATGGTTTATGCAAGCCAATTGACTAAATTAAGGGTGTGGGGACATATTTAGTTCCTAATTTTGAAATGCTAATACTGTTAATATTAATTTTAAGAAGTTTTGTGTTGTTACTTTACAAAGTAATGGAATGTAACTCATTCAGTGCTGACCTTACTCGATACGGAAGTACTGTTGGGAAGCTTGTTTGTTGCTTTAGATGCCCGAGGAAGTATTTCAAGCTAAACGCTCTAAGCAGTTGCTATCTGTGGGCCAGGCTGTCTCTGCTAGGGCCTACTCAAGAGTAGAGAAAGGAAGAGTGGCAGGGAACTGGTTATTATTCCTCTAAGCAGTTGCTATCTGTGGGCCAGGCTGTCTCTGCTAGGGCCTACTCAAGAGTAGAGAAAGGAAGAGTGGCAGGGAACTGGTTATTATTCCTGGACTCTATAGTTTCTTTGGCTATATTCCTAGCTTATTGTGAAGCACCCCACTAACTTTTGACACTGTCTGTGACTTCACAAGCTGCAAATGTAGTACTTTATTTCTTTCAGGTACCCTGCTCTTTCACTCTGTAAACAGCCTTTGTAGCCAGGAAAATGTTAAGTCTTCTGGGAAACAGGTGAATTCTCAGTTTGGGCTAGGTTCAGTCTGTTTGCATCAAGGAAAAGAGAAAATCTGTCTTAATCAGTGAACAAAGAAACTGCTCAGACACCAGTAAAAAAAAATGAACTAAATAAAACTAAGTAAAATTGCCTTTTTCTTGAGGGAGACGTAAAGAGCGCTTTGCATATCATCGGGCACAAATTACAAGCACTCTGCATCGCCATAGAGGAAGAAACGTAATCTTTGAAATGTAAAGCATTTAATGAAAAGTAAAGAAAAACCTGAAATGCAGTTAAAACCAGTCAGCTGGGTAAAATGTCTTCTATAACAGCATAAAGATACTTAAGTATATAGGATTATAATTTTAAAGCTGTATTTCCAAGCAAAGCTTTGAAACGCCTCAGTCCTAGCCTTCAGAACTTACTGCCTGAGAAGGCAACAGTTTGATGGTATCTTTTGTTTATCTGAAGTTAAAAATACATTCCTTGTTTTGCAACAGATACGTGGTGGGAAGCTGATGATCTCCAATACAAGGAAAAGTGATGCTGGCATGTACACTTGTGTCGGCACAAACATTGTGGGGGAGCGAGACAGCGATCCAGCAGAGCTGACTGTCTTCGGTAAATCAACTCAAGCTTTTGTTTCCTTTTCACTACAGATGACTTAACTGACGTAGGTGGCTCATCAGAACAGGAGGCGAAACAAAACCCAGTAGTGCTGCTTCAGATGCATTGCGCAGTTTCTGCAGCAGACCAGGTTTCAAAGGCTGCAGTTTGTAATGATGGAGCTGTGATGGCTCAACATTTTCTTTCTAAGCACATGGTTTCAGTCTAATTGGAGGTCCTTGGTGATATGCGTACACTCAGAGACAGTAGTGCAGAACACAGTGCTCTCCCTCACAAAATGTAATTAAACTGCTTCTAATATGGTTGACAAATGCCTGCTTGCCAGAGATTTGGACCAACACTGCCTGTGTAAGTAATTCCTTATTGCTGTGGGGTTATGAATTCAAACCTTTGTAGGAGAGCACAAAAGAGCTCAATTGAGCAGTAAAAAAAAAATCATTGCAGAAAACCCCTAGATCAACTTTTTTGAATATATAGAGATACTTCTGTCATTTGTTTCTTTTTAAAGGGCATGAAACAGCTTCTCTTCGTGCAAGCCAGGGCATCATTTAGGATTTTGGTGCTGCTGAATGTATCAAAATAGAATAGGTTTCCTGTGTGAAAGATCTTCCAGACTTGAGGGACAAGGCAAGAAGCTGTTAGGAACATTTGCGCTATGGTTAGTGTCTACAGCAAGGATAGAGTAATACTGGACCTAGAGCTGGATCCATCCTGCTGACAACTGGGAAAGAAGCAAGCCTTCTTTCCTGCTGTGGTACATCATGCAGTCATGACATTTCTATTTGCCATTAGCTGTGGGTTTGCAGGAATTAGTCAAGAGGTCTTGAGCAAACAGAAGAAAATCAATAAGGAAAAAACCCCTCACAGCTAAAGAAAACCCATACAGGGATACAAAAGAGAAAGAGAAAGTGTTAATGTTCCCTCCTGCTACAAGCTTTTTGATATCCTTGATACAATACTAAAATTCCAAACAAGACTGCTTGTAATCCCAGTAAGACTTTTCATAGAAATCCTAAGGTCCTTTCTGAAGCAGATGCTCCTGATTTTTTTCCCTTCTGCCTAATCTGGTGCACTGAAAACCCCAGCCGCATATTGCTGTCTGTGTTTGCATTAATGTGCAATTCAACATTTGTTTGTCCACTTGGAAAGAAAATATATGGGGTTCAAAAAGGCATAGAAAAGTTTCTGCTAGACAAGACCTGTGAGTGACTGAAGATTTGCTGCTTTCCAACATTGCAAGGCTGTAAAGGCTTCCATTCCACTTAGTTTGTTGTGGATTCCTGGAAGTGTAAGAATTTTAAAGGCACAACTAGTATACCTTGCAAAAAAAAAACCAACACAGAAAGGATCTCTGTCAAATTATTATGTCCTTTGCAGCCCATCTGTTGAAGATGTGCCTTTTTACAAATGTAAAAGAGACATGACAGATCTTCTTCATCGGTTTAAGTACTGGTAATCTCTGTAATACTCCCTGTGGATAGCAAGCAGATTGCAATCCTAAACTATAAAGCCTTAAGAAAATAATTTGTTAAAAAGCATTGAACTGTAGGAATCAAACCTGAAATATACATGTAATTTCATATCCTGCAGAGCTACAAAAAGTATTAGATTTGTCTCAATATGTAAAATAATACATACCCAATTACAATGTTCTGATTTTTCTACAGGATTTAATCATAGCAATCAACTCCTAAAATACAATCGAAACCTAATTTGTGAATAGTGAACAAAATCAGCAATAAATGAAATTAGGTATTTTAATTCTTCGTAACTGTGTTAGACTACTTGAAGAAAATTGTATTTTAAATTCCTTTCCTATCTGGGTATCTTCCTAGCTAAAATTCCCCTTCAACCTGGGTATTGCCTTCCTATCTTCCTTTTCGCTGTACAAGTATAGCATGCAGAAAGGAGGCACTCGGGTCACGATCTGCTGTTTGACAAGGCAATTTGACTATCCTGAGCCCATTTCCTGGCTACCATCTGGCCCTGAAGTTCCGTGTTGGTGTTCTGGGCTCACTGTATAGATGTGTAGAGGTTAGCCCTGGTCTGCTCTGTATGACAGGAGGTGGCTTGGCTTTGCCTTCCGCCAGCAGAACAGTTCCTGGGCTCCAGGCAGCAGCTAGTGGGTGAGTGGGTGCATGCCTAGTGCACTGGAGAGCATTATCCATGATGTTTCCAGGAAGCAGCGTATGTACTGGACAGTCCAGTCAGTCTCAGCATAGACAGTAAACCCATCAACTCTGGGAAACATCAGATTGATGATCTGTGCATGTTCAGATTGACTTCACTGAACACTGGCAAAGCTATGGGTCATCTGTTAAGTCCAGCGCCTTCCTCTAAGATGACTCACAGGTTTGAGGAACATGGGAATAGTGCAAACATTGAGAAAAATATGCTAAAAATACCATAATACTTATATATTATTAATGTGCCCAATTTTAACTGTTTTGAACACGTTTGCAAATGGGCTTTATAGACAAAATAAAAAGTGGTTGGCAAGCCTACAGCTGATGCTGATTCTGGAGAGGAACGTGTATGAAATAGCTGATTATTGTCTTTATTCCTTTTCCAAATAACAAACCCCCAAACCCTTTCCATAGTGTGAAGGAGGCCTCAGTAAACACTCTACTCTGTAGGAGAAGGAGCTGTTTCATACTAGTTTTCAAACCTTTCCAGGAATCAGCCGGTTGTTACTTTTGGCTTTGCAAGTTTTTCTGTAATAGCTGAAGTTAATTTCTGCATGTGATTTGTGTCAGATCTCTGGCTTCCTGCACAGTAAATTTAGCTTGAGGCAGTGCCTCTGGAAAAACTGAGTTGGTTTGGTGGTAACTGGTGGCCCAAGGGGAACGGCATGGAGGCCAAACCTAAAAGATTACACCTTTCCTGAGTTTAAACCCAAGAAAATACACAGGCAATAAGAAACTATCTTGGAAAGAATTAGGAGGAAAAAACGAAAGTTTCCCAAGTGCAGAATGTAGCCACTTGGCTGGGTACCCATTCAGTAACCTTTGCTAAGAGATAGTTGTGGATAATACATGTAAAACTTTCACAAACCAAGTAATTATATTTGTCAACCCCCTCTGCATGAGAAACCTAGTTTTCAACATTTAGTCACTGCTAACAGCCCACTTTTAGTGTCAGCGCAGATTGTGTTTCTTTTGTTCCCAAGTCATGTTTCTGCCTCCAGTAGAGAACTGCCAAACTTTCACAGGAAAATATCACAAACAAACCTGATTATATAAGCAGTGATTCCAAAAATTATCCTGGTGTTTTGAATAGTGGCAATGATGCATTACATTATGTTAGTCTTTGCTTTCAAGCACTAGTGCTATGTGCTAGTTTTTGCCTTTATGAGACTCTAAGGTGTAATCGTGGATTAAAGCAAGAAGACAGGGTCTGTTGCAGTCTAAGTTGGCCTTTAAAGGAAGTTAATAACTAATCTACCTATCCTAACACTCACAAAAAGAGGTAGCATGGTACTTTATGGATGCACTATTGTAAAGGCCAAATTCAGATGTGTAAGTGATACATACTAGGCTGCTTTGCTTGTGTTTGGGCATAGAGCCTTCGGCTGAAAAGAATTAAAGCAAGATGCCAACCAGTAACAGTTTAATTCCAATTTGTAAGAAAGCTTTTTTCCTAAATACAGAATATAGAGCCAAAAATTAAATAAAGAATTACTGTTTAAGTTAACCTTTTATCATTTTGTCATATTACTGCACTATTCTCAGATAAGTTTTCAAGTTGTTTTAACTATTTCAGGCTCTTGTTTTTTTTCCTTTGAACTGAAAATGGTATGTTTGAAGAGAATGTACAAAGGTATATCTTGTATATTGATTCTGAAGCTCTGTGAAATCAATGAAAGCCTTAATATACCAACTTCAAGAGACTGGCATCAAGCAGTGTGAAAAGTTATATTTAGAAGAGCCTCAAAAGAATATAAAGCATAACTAGGACAGTACAAAAATGTCTTAAAAGATATGTCAATGCAGACATATTGAAGATTGTTTTGGATTAATCTTTGATTTCAACTTTGGTACCTGAACCTTTTTTCAGTTAATAAGGTCCTGGGGGATCAAGGGGTTTTGTCTGATGCTTGAAGAAGTATTTGTGTTTGATGTTCCCTAGACATTGTCAGGCTGAAAGAGATACCATAGTTCCAGGGAGAGTATGCCAGGATGACGTGATGTTAGAGGAAAAAAATCCAAAAATCCCTTACTGAAGACATTGTGCCATATTTTACTTTCCTGAGCTCTGATTATAGGAAAGGCCAAATCAGAGAGTCTTGTCCCGTAATATCATGGAGATTAGTCTTAGAAGCTTTCCCAGTTACATGGAAACCTGGATGTACATTCTCAGTTCAAGACAGAGAAATTGGCAGTGTGTATTTTGTCCTTCAGAGCGAAGCTCCTCCCGTTTTTCTTCAAATACTTGTATTTTGGGGTTGTAGTGTACTTGTGGCCGTTTGCAAAAAGCCAGTTTGACTTCGCAGTTGTCGTGGTTTAACCTCAGCCACCAGCTGAGCACCAGCCTCCTGATCACTATCCTCCTATTGGCATGAGGCAGAGAATCGGAAGATAAAAGTAAAAAACTCATGGGTTGAGATACAGACAGTTTAATAGGTAAAGCGAAAGATGTGCATGCAATTAAAGCAACCCAAGGAATTCATTCACCACTTCCCATCAGCAGGCGGGGGTTCAGCCATCTCTGGGAAAGCAGGATTACATCATGTGTAATGGTTAATTGGGAAGACAAACAGCATCACTGTGAATGTTCCCCTCTTCCTTCTTCCTCCAGCTCTGTGTGCTGAGCATGACACCCTGTGGTCTGGGACATCCCCTTGGTCAGCTGGGATCAGATGTCCTGGCTGTGTCCCCTCCCAACTCCTTGTGCACCCCCAGGTTACTCACTGGTGGGGTGAGGAGCAGAAAAGGCCTTGGCTCTGTGCAAGTGCTGCTCAGCAGTAACTGGAACATCCCAGTGTTACCAACACT